TCAGCGTGGACGCCACCCTCCCTGCCTACCCCCAGGCCCGTTGGTCTGTTTCTGTGTCTGTCCAGAAGGGCTCAGGCCATGCTGACTGCGAGGGGTGGGGCGGGCTATTAAAGAGTGAAGGAGTCCACTGTGACTCCTTGGAATCTCAGAAAGACTGGGCAATGCTGATGCTAATGGTGTGTACTTTGGGAGATAAGTCTAATTCAGGAAATGATAAATTACTGACGCCCTCATTGTTGGCAAACACTACGTGAGGGAGGGTTTTTTAATGAGTTAATCTGCAGGAGGCACTTTGCCACCCCATGAGTCACTGGCCTGGGGCTGGATGGGGCGAAGGGGGCCCCTCAGCAGGCCCTGGGGGGGGGGGTCTGCTGATTCTTTTCTTCCCCGGAATGTCGCCTTCTTCCCTGTGGCTGGCAGAGCCCGCTCTTCACTGGGCGCTCAGGCCTCCCCTAGCCCAGTTACGTAGTCCTGCCAGCTCCCAGAGAGCCAAGGAGAGCAGAGGAGCTCTGCTGGGGCGGGGCAGGGGAGGGGTCCTCCAACAGGTCCGGGCCTTCTTCCTGGAAGCAGGGAAAGGCCCCCAGAAGGCTGCCACAAGTCCCCTGTGTTCTTCCTTCCTGCCCGTGGGGGGCTGGGGCCAGACAGTGGGAGTGGGAAGCCTGGGTCCGATGGAGCTTCCCCTCCCAGTGGGCTGCGTGACCTGGGAAGCCTCTCCTTCTCCCCCTGGTTTCCTTCACTGTCAGATGCTCGGCTGGGCGGGATCTCTGGGGTCCTTCCACCCCTGCCAGTCCGAAGCCAGCCCCATGGTGCCCGGCCGTGAGCTCACCCCCAGCCGCACATGACGGTGTCTCCTAATGCCTTGTACATGGGTGGTTTGTGCGAGGGCCTTAACAAAGGGAGCTGCCTGGGAGGTGGGGTTTCACCACCCCAGAATTTCCTGGGGATGAATTCAGAACAGCCAGAGCCTTCATGACTTCTTTCTTTTTGTGCCTGAAATATGGCAGCTAATAGACTGAATTTTACTCATGGAAAATTAATAAGCGCCTGTGACAGTCAGGTTTATAAATATGTAAAAATGGTTTTAATTGTTTTTAGCCCACCAGGCAGGTAATCAATAATCATAGCCGTGACACACACACTGTTGACATATGCCTGAGTCGAAAGGCTGCGGAGGAGATAGGGGTTTCCTGTCAGCAGCGCGGACTCATTCATATTCAGACATTGTCATGGGCCATGATAAATGGATGCCTTGAACTGGATTGATAGAGTTGGTTAAACATTGAAAAAGTTGGGTTGAACTTTGACTTAAAATATTCATTAGTGCTAATTATGGATTTTCTGACTACATGAATTACCGTTTCTCTGCCCTCATTGACCATTTATTTTCAATTTATTTATTGCAATCTCCATAATATTATATTAGCCTTATTGCACTCAGTGAGGTCATGCAGGCAAGCCTGTGCTGGCCCTTGTGTTCTGGGAGCTTCCTTGAGGGGGGAGTCACACGTGAGGCCAGGGAGGGGGGGATAAGGGGCCCACAGACAGAGAGACTCTCTCGATTTCTGTCTCTGCGTCTGTCTCTCTCAGGGCTGAGGTCATCTTTATCTCTTACGAAAGTTAGGCAGCCTGCCTTTCACGCTGTCTGATTTTGAGGCCCCTGCCCCCAGCACAGTTATGGCTGACCATTTTCAGTGTCTTTTCCGGGGAGGTTGGGTTGCTCGTCTCCACTTCTCCTGTGGCTGATTGGTGGGTGTTTTGTTTGTGTGACTTTGCTGCGGCCTGGCCTGGACCCCTTGGCTTCCCCTGAGCTGCTTGTTCTGTGGGCAGGTGATTGTGGATCAGAGGTTGGCAAGATTCTCCTTATGCTTTCTTCCTCTCTTGTGAGTCGACCTCATTTCCTTTTCATTTCAGTCCCTTGGTTTCTCTCTCTCTTTGTCAGGTAAGCTCGTGCTCTGTAAATGCTCAATCTTCAAAAAATACCTCGCAATTTTGTCATTCTGTCTTGTGATTTTCTTTTCTTTTTTTTTTTTGGTGAGGCAATTGAGATCAAGTGACTTGCCCAGAGTCACACAGCTAGTAAGTGTCACGGGTCCGAGGCTGGATTTGAACTCAGGTCCTCCTGACTCCAAGGCTGGAGCTGTCTACTGTGCCCCCTAGCTGCCCCTTCTGTCTTGTGATTTTTTTTTTTCGGCCAAAGACAAGGTTTATTAGAACATCCGTCATATTGGGCAGACTTTAAGTAATCTGAATGTTGGTAAGCTATTGGCTAGATTGTAAAAATCTGAGCAGTGGCTAAATATTAAGAATCTAAGCTGTCTTGTGATTTTCAAGGTACTTGATTTCTCCTCCAATTTTCTTCTTTTGTGCTTATCTTAAAGTGAGTTTTCTGTCTTTTTAGTTGCGTGTCTGTCTATCTATCCTCTGCTCCTTGTTTTGCTGACAGATTTTTGTAAATAGAAGTTTTCCTGTGAGCACGGCGTGTGCCGGGTCCCCTAAGTCTGGGCCAGCTGCCTCATCAGCCTCTCTCTAACACAGTTGTTGTCTCTGATTTGTTCTCGGAACGCTCGTTAGTCAGAATGTTGCTGCTGATCTCCGCTGGGTTCTGTCCCTTTTCCTTGTTTTGCCTTTCTTCGTCACTATTGGATTGCATTATGATTGGTGGGATGATGCAGGATGCAGCCTGGGGAGAGAAGAGACTGGGTGAGTGTGGCCTGAGCCCAAAAGGGGGATGGATAATTAGAAGCCATATCACTCACGGAGCAGAGTGAAGAAGACAAAGCTGGGGAAGGGGGCCAGACCGGACCAAACGATGACGGGCAGACCGGTGCTGGAGGCAGCGTGATTGGGAGGTCACTGAGGCACCCGGCTGTAAGGCCCCTGAAGGAAGGAGACTGAGCCACAGAGATGGGAGGAAAAAATCCGGGACCGTATTAATAACTCACAAGGTGGCTGAGAGAGTTCCTGGCTATTGACCTGTACGCCTTCTCTCCTGTATTTATAACATCTTTACGAGGGTCATCCATAGTCAATCTGAGTGTGCCATTGATGAGGTCACTCAGAGGGAGCAAGCAGGGTTTCACAAGCTTTGTCCAACAATGATTACGTCTTCTGCCATCTCACAATCATTTGAAGGATGTACAGAATGTATGGCCTCATTGTTTGTTGATAAAGGCACATTTGATTTCTTGGAACAAAATGCTGCCTTTATAGACTTTTTTAGAGCAAAGCATCATGCATCCATGTATCATTCAGGATTCCATGAAAAACGTGCCCACGTGCATGGCTACAGCAGGGAAGCGTGGAGGGACCAGGGCAGTCTGGGTTAAGGAGGGATTCCCCGGGGGTGGGGAAGGTTGCTCCTGAGGGTGTCGCTTACAGCAAGCCTCCAGACAACACAGAGCGTAGCAGAAGAAAATGGGTCTATACCCCCCCTCCCTAAAAGAGAGGGAGTTGTAGCCGCAGCTCTGGGCACTGGAGTCGCTGTGGGTGTAGACACCCACTCTCACTCCCCGTCTAGAGCAGGGCGCCTGGGTCACCAGGAGCAGCCCTCATCACTTAATTCCCTGGCAGCATTTTCTGCTGGATGAACTAAGATGCCAAGGAGATGGGCAGCAGCCCGAGCTTCTGCTTTTGACAAATCAGCAACTGTTCACTCTCTCTGTGGTGTTTCATAAATAATGCAGGAGGCGTTGAGGCAGAACACACCCGGCTAGGGTGGGCTGGGGGTGGGCTCTCTGTGCTATGCGGGAAAGACAAGATGGGGCTCAGTCAACCCCTTGTGGAGGATACAGGGCCTCGGGGACTGGCCTGTGGGGCTCCACATCACTGTCCCTGGCAGAACCCTGGGCCCCCAGCCCCCGTGGGCTCCTCCTGTGCAGCCTCTGGGCCGATCTCCAAAGGTGAAAGGGCCTGGGGCCTCAGGGAGACCTTTCTGGATTACAGACGGGCCGGGCGTTTCCCTAGTGCTTGTAAGCTCTCCAGAGCCCGGAACACGGGCCTCAGAGCCTTGAGGCCCATCATGCTGGACCACGCAGAGGTCCGTGGCCCCAGAGGGCCACACAGCCGGCTGCCTCAGCAGCTTTGTGCAGGGGATTGGGCCCGGCGGGTGCCTGGGCCACATCTCAAGCTCGTTAAGGGGAGAGCTGACCTCGACGTGAGCTCACGGGGCTCCCTTGGTGGGGGCGAGGGGAGCTCTGCCAGGCACTCACGGATGGATGCTTGGGGAGCTGCTCTGTCCAGCGGTGGTCCTGGAGGTCAGAGGAATGTGCCTGCAAGTCCCTCGTACGTCTGTCTCTAGACCAGCCCTGGTGCGGGGCTGGTGGCCCTGCCAATGATGCTCTCTCCTCCATTCTCTCCTGTGGGGGAGAGGTTTAGGCCTCTTTGAACCCACCTTCCTTGCCGGGCCGGCCGGGCCTTCTGTGGCGCTTCCGCCTCCATCCCTCCTGTGTCAGCCTGCCTCTCTTCAGGATTTCAGAATCCAGACGTGTGGCCCGAGGTCAAAATGTAATTGGGAAATATTTCACAAAATAAGTCATAAGACAGCAGCACACAGACGATGTGAATAGTCTGGGGCCTGTGGGGATCCTGAGGGATGGCTTGATGCCCCCTCCCCTTCTCCTTCACACCTGAACCCCCATCTTGGGGAGTACCAGGAAGGGTCTTAGCAGAGTGCCGGCCCTGGCATCTGATGGTGGCTGGGTGTGGCCAATCCGTAGACGTGCCTGGGCTGCCCAGGAGTGAGTGAGTTTACAGGCTGGAGGATGCATAGCCATGTCCCCTGTGAGAATGTGTGGCAGGAGCCCCAGACAGATCCCTTCAAGGAAGGAACCGAGGCAAGAAGGACAGCTGACCACAGCCACCATCTTTCCCGGTTCCCTTAAGCTCGCGGCTGTTGCTTTGCTGCATCAGGGCCCTGTGAGTGTTGATTTCTGATTGGCTTTAAAGACGCAGCTGACGAGGTGCCAGCTTCCTAATTCGTTTCTGTTGGTTTTCCTCCCCAGGCGCTGGGAAGCTTCTATTTCCTTCATGAATCCTTAAAGAACATCTACCAGTTTGACTTTAAAGGTAAGTCTGGCATCCACCCTCCCTGGGTCAGGGCTCCCTGTGACATGTGGGGCCTACTCTTGGGGCTGCAGTGAGGCCCAGGGGCCTCCAGGGCCATTGGGGTGCTATGGATGACCAATGGGGCAGCCGAACCCCTCGTGGACAGCATCCCAGCCCGCCAGGATTGTCAGCCTTGGAGGTGAGGAGGCAGCCCTGGGAACTTGGCGGGGCGGTGGGGCGGTCAGCCAGCAATTACTACGTACCTACTGTGTGCAGGTCACTGTTGCTATGGACCCAGGATAGAGAGGAAGGGTCGAGGGCATCCTGGTGGAGGGGCTGGGGCAAGGAGGAGGGACAACAGGAACCACCCTGGAAAATAAGTAATGATGTTCATGATCGTAATGATGTACTAGCCAATGTCTGTATGAACAGAAGATGCCAGTTGGTCACGCTCACGTTAGACAGAACCACAGAAAAACAGTGTACGTGTGGATGTGTGCGCGTGTGTGGGTATGGATTGTACATGTGGACATTGTGTGTGATACGTGCACATGCAGAGCCTCTCGGACATCCATCTGGCCCTCTCAACTGAAGACGTCCCAAAGTGCTGCATGGCCCACAGCGAGGGAGAGACAACAACCGAAACAGATAATGTGTGTGTTCATGTTTGTGACTGGGCATGAGTGTGAGTGTGTGTGTGTGACTGTGTGTGAGTGTGGCTGTGTATGTGTATGAGTGTGTGTGTGGGAGTGTGACAGTGTGTGTGTGACTATGTCTGAGTATGTGTGTGAGAGTGTCTGTGTGGGTGAGTGTGACTGTGTGAGTGTGGCTGTGAGGGTGTGAGTGTGACTGTGTATGAGTGTCTGTATGTGTATCTGTGTGTGAGTATGATTGTATGAGTGTGTGTGAGTGTGGCTGTGTATGAGTGTGTGAGTGTGACTATGTATGAGTATGTTTGTGTGTATGAGTGTGGCTGCATATGGGTGTGTTTGTGTATGTAAGGGTAGCTGTGTATGGGTGTGGCTATGTGGGTGTGATTGTGTATGGGTATGTTTGTGTGTGCCAGTGTGGCTGTCTGTGGGTGTGAGTGTGACTGAGTGTGGCTGTATGGTGAGTGTGACCATTGCTTCACATCCAAGAGGGTCCAGAGCTGGGCCTTGGAAGCGAGGTGGGCGAGCAGCTCTTCTGGCTGAGGAACGCCTGGGGGCGGGGAGGAGGGGTGTTCTGCTGGCTGGCTTGGGTCAGGGCTGGGAGACAAGCTGGAACATTTGTGTGGGGTCCCATGTGGGGATTCCCCGCCAGGGGAATGATCCCAGTCAATGCTGGCTTGGGAAGATGGTCTCAGCACTGAGGTCAGGTGTGAGTCATTGGTAGAACAGCCTTCTGCTTGGCAGAAATCATCTGGGAGGCGCCCGGGTGGGCCCGCCATCTTAGGTGGGCCGCTGTTGCCCACGGGACTTCGGGGCCTCCGGACAGATAGGACCTCCCCTTTGTCCTGAGCTCGGCCCTTGGGGCGAGTGTGTGAAATCCTGGTGGGGCTCGCACCCATCAGTCCACAGTGACGTCACCTGACGGAGATGCAGATTATACAAAGGCACGTTGGCTGCCCGTGGGAAGCGGTGGCTGTGACTGGCCAGATGCGGAGGTCCAGAAGGCCTCACCGCCCTCAGATGGTCTCCATCCACCCTGTGGGGGCTCTTGCCAAGCCTGGACCCTTCCTCAGGCCAGCCGAGGTCAGCAGAAGGGATTGCCCCTGGCCCACGGTGTTGGCGCAAGAGGAGTGTCATGGCCAATGGGACACGGGTCTTGTCTTGCCCTTGGCACGGTGACTCCACCCCCAGAGGGGAAGCTGTGTGTGTGTATGGGGTGGACCCTTTACCTCCGGCATCCCTGGGAGGCGTCCCTCTGTGCTCCCCGCCCCAGCTGGCAGGCCCATGGCGGACACGATGGCCGTGCAGAAGGGTCCTGGGAATAGGCAAAATTCATTGGGCAGAAATGAGGCAGAGATAGCTTTTCTGTACCTCAGTCTATCACCATACCTTTTTTGTTTTTTGGGGTTTTTTTGTTTGTTTTTTGGGGTTTGTTTTTTTTTGTTTTTTTTTTGGTAGGCAATTGGGGTTAAGTGACTTGCCTAAGGTCACACAGCTAGTACGTGCCAAGTGTTTGGTCTGAGGCCGGATTTGAACTCAGGTCCTCCTGACTTCAGGGCCAGTGCTGTATCCACTGCGCCACCTAGCTGCCCCTCAACATACCTTTATTAAGCCCCTGCTGCATACCAGGTAGCACACTGGGTGCATATCCTGCCCTAAAAGGGCTTCGAGCTTTTTGGCAGAGATGCCCTGTGTGTGTATGAAGAAGTCGACGCAACCCAGTGTTGTGGAGGGGACGGATGTTTTGGACACAAGCTGGCCAGGAATCGGCGCTGCCCCGCTGTGTGGATTTGGTACAAGCATTTTCTTTTTTCTTTTATTTTTCCAGAATTTTGGGGGGTGGGAGAGAGTTAAATGCTTGTTTGTTTTGTCAAAATAAAATAAATGAAGGAAGCTAGGGGTGAAGAAGGAAGCCCCTCTGGGGGAAGGTGGAGCACAGAGCCTGTCTGCCTCAGTTTCCTCTTCTCTGAAATGGGAGTGACGATAGCCCCTACCCCCAGGGTTGTCGTGAGGAGCCAGCGGGGTAAGGATTGTGAGGAGCGCGGTGCCTGGCCCCTAGCGAACGGTCCATATGCCTTGAGTCCTCAGATGCGGGAGGTGACCCCCTGGGTGGGGGCACAGGAGAAACAGGAAACCGTCTAACCCGCTGCATTCTGGAAAGGAGGAAGGGTCAGAAGCAGTAGAACTCAGAGCCGGAAGGCGACTTTGCCTAAGTCAGGCTCCTGACAGCCGCAGTAACAGCCGCAGGCACGTGGGACCCGAGTGGGAAAGGTGCTGTTTGCCGTTGTCCATCCTTGGATCCCAAGGAAGACCATGACATCAGGGAGTGAGGCCGGGACTGGCGGTTGAGGCGGATTTAGGTGAGGGGCCGCTTGAAAGAGGAGGAAAGGAAGAGGGGTGACTTTCACAGCCGCGGGAGGAGGCTTCTCGGCCAGTCACAGACGTCACAATAAAGCATTTAGTGACGTGGGACTGAAGAGCTTCTGTAAGAAAACAGGTGAGGGGGCAGTGGACAGACCACCGGCCCTGGAGTCAGGGGGACCTGAGTTCAAATCCAGGCACATAGCACTTGCTAGCTGTGTGACTCTGGACAAGTCACTTAACCCCAGCTGCCTCACCAAAAAACAAAACAAGCGAGAGGATAAAGGTGAAACGTTCTTTGCATCCAACGTTCCCCATAAGGACGAGGCTCGGGATGCATCTGCAGCAGGAGCCGTTCCCCAATGAGTAAGCGGTCAGAGAAGAGTTGTAAACCGCTAGTCACTGTACGAAGCCTGTGCTGAGAGGCGCGCACATCCAAGCGGCTCTGAAGGTGCCCCTCTCACCCAGCGCACCGGCAAAGAGGAGGTGAGATGGAAACGATTTGTGTGGGGCTGCCCCAGAGGTACGGGACGTGACTGCGCCCTTGATGGCGCTACAAAGGGTCCCACCTTTCAGGAGAGGGTCGGCCCTGGGACCCAGACCTTCACCAGGCGCGTGCTCTGAGGATGCTGACGATGCCCAGAAAGTCCCGTGGCCACCGGAACATTTGTGGACACGCTTTGTGCTAGTGCAGAGCTGGGAGGATTGGGGAGGCCCGGCCCCTGGGAAATGGTGCGTACGCATGGCCACCCAGGAGGGACCGCGCATTGCTGCGGAAATACCAAGTGGGGAAAGTCAGGGGATGCCAAGTGAGGTAAGGAGGCCCAAGGATGGCGACCATGGAAATGCAGAGATGAGAAGATGAAGCAGTGAGCAGCAGTGACCCAGTGAGGGGGCTCTGAGTGTGGAATGTGGTGCATGCCCTCTCCCCCTCCCTCTCACCCTCTCTCTGTCTCTCTTTCTGTGTCTTTGTGTGTCTCTCTGTCGGTCTCTGTCTCTGTCTCCCTCTCTCCCTCTCTCTCTCTCCTATATTGTCTCCCTCTCTCTTTCCTTCCCACTCTGTCTCTGTCTCTTTATCTCAATAGTCAGGCATGAAGAAGATGGCGTAAAAATTAAAGATATAAAAATTAGATTTGTTCAGAAAGAGCCTCTGCCTGTGCTGGTGGCCCGGCCCTTGTGCACCTTCCCGTCTGCGCACAGCTGGTTAGCTTCTCAGTTTGCCCACGACAGGCACCTTCACTTGACATGACCCAGAACGTGGAAGCTTTCCTGTCCTGGGTCCTGTCCCCGGGTGTGAGGGGGTGTGTGTGTGAGGGTGATGGGGTGTGTGTATGAGGGGATATGTGTGTGTGGGGGGCAATGCTGGGGGAACACGGAGGAGAGGAGAAGGAAAGTGTGACCTTCCACTTTCCCAGGACACGGTCAAACAGAAGTGGGATTTCCACGGGGAGAAAGTCTGAACTTGGAAGTGCTCTTGCGACATTGAATTTTTGAGCCCGAGTGCAAGACTTTACATTTATTCCTGTTAAATCTCCTCTTCTTTTATTCTGGCCAATGCTCTGAGGACCCGTCAAGACCTTTCTTTCTTTCTAATCCTAATTCAGCTTTTCACAGCCTTTTCTCTTCTGCATTTGGATATTTCATGAAGGAAGCGGAAGCAGTGAGGGTGGGGCAGGTGGATGGGGGACAAGTATTTGTGAGGGTGTGTGTGTGTGTGTGTGTGTGTTGTGAGGGTCTGTGAGTGTGTCTGAGGGTGTGTATGTGTGTTTGTGTGACAGTGTGGGGGGATGATGTGTGTGTGTGTGTGTGTATGAGGGTGATGGGGTATGTGTATGAGGGGGTATGTATTTGTGTGGGTGTATGTGTGTGAGGGTCTGTGCATGTGTGTGAGTGTGTCTGAGGGGGTGTATGTGTGTTTGTGTGACAGTGTAGGGGGGATGGTGTGTGTGTGTGTGTGTTTTAAAGCTGGCTGTTTGTAGGTAAGGAGCTGATGCTCTCAGGGAGCAGCTAGGTGGTTCCCAGAACACTGGGCCAGGAGTCAGGAAAACCTGAGTTCAAATCTGCCTTGAGACACTTCGTAGCTGTGTGCCCATGAGCAAATCATTTAAGCTCTGTTTCTCTCAGTTTTTCTGTCTGCGAAATGGGGATAGTCACAGCCTTTCCCTGCGAGGGTGGTTGTGAGGCCCGCGTAAAGCGCTGAGCGCCGTGCCTGGCACGCAGTAGGTGCACTCCAAACGTTGGCTGTCATTATTCTCACCATCATGACGCTCGCTCTGGGTGGCAAAGATGCAGCCTCTCGCTCACTCGTGTTCTCTCTTCTTTTCTTAGCAAAGAAATATAAAAAAGTCACTGGCAAAGAAATCTACTCGGACACGTTAGAGAGCACACCCATGCTGGAGAAGGAAAAATTTCCCCAGGAGTATTTCCCAGAGGTGGGTGAAGGTGAAGTCCGCGGGCGGGGGCGCTCCCTGAGGCCCATCTGTGTGTGGGGACCTCCACTGAGCGGGAGCCAGGGATGACTGTCGCCCCACCTCGGTCGTGGCTAAGCTGCCCTCGTGCTAAGGGCACCCCACGTTAACTCTGGTGGAACCGAGTGACGGCTCTCCCAAGCACATTTCTGTTGTTCACTGCTAGTCCGGTTAGGCCACACTGATTAAGCACCTTCTGTGTACCCCGTGCCCAGTAATAACAGCCTTAGTCTAGTCACCGTGGCACCAACGAGCTATAGATGGGGTCAGGGAGGGGGCGGGAGGGGTCCTCTCGGGGGCGAAGGGGGAGGTGCTGCCTGGGAAGGTGGGTTTGAACGGAGTCTTGAACTCAAGAAGGCAGGAGGCGGAGGGGGCAAAGAGAGACAAAAGTGTGGCGATGGGAGATGGCGGGTCCTGGGGGCGGGCCAGGCAGGGGACCGGTGGGGCTGGGACCCAGACAAAGTGGATGGGAGGGAAGTGGGATTTTCTATTTGCTCCCGGAGGCCCTAGGGAGCCACTGGGGTTTACTGGGCTTTACTGGGGTTTACTGGGGCAGGGGGAGCGTTGTGGCCCAGAGAGGAGAGCCGGGAGGCAGGGAGCCCCTGGCAGCTGCTGCCACAGTACAGGCCCGAGGGGATGACGGTCCGCACCACGGTGGTGACTGTGACCCAGAGGAAGGAGGCAGATAGGACAGACTGACGTCTGTCAGGTAGACAGGAAGGTAGAAGGGCAAGGACTGACGGCTGATTGGACGGGAGCGCTGAGTTAAGGTTTGCTCTGGAGATGAAAACCTGCCAGACAGAGAAGATGGCGGTGCCCTGGATGGTCTGCGGGAAGGTGGGGACGGAGAATGGTGGGGGCGGCGAATCCGGCTCTGGACAGGACCCAGCTCGGCACGTCCGATGGGCCGCTGGGGCTGGGAGGCATCTTCATATAATTGACTCACGAGTTCGCCGGGGCCCGTCTACAAGGCTCCTTCTGAGCCCACAGCATTGATGGAGCACCACTCTCGTAGCACTCTCCCCTCCGCCATGTCATGGATCAGAAAATTGAAACCCAGAAATGAGGAGCGACTTGCCCTAGGGAGTCATGCAGGCCTTGAGTGGCAGAATCAGGATATGGACCGGGGGTTCCTGGCTCTGAGTCCTGTGCCCTGCTGCCTTTCTTCAGGGCCTGGACCCCAAACCCTAAGGACCAAGAAACAGCTGGCTAGCAAGATGGCGGCCACGTCAAAGTCAGCTGTCTGTGTAGACCATGGGCCGGTCAATGTGGGGTGAAAAGAAGATCAAGGTGAGAGTCGGGCGTGCATTTAAAGTGCGGGAACGTGAACGTCGAAGGCCTGGCTTTGGTGCAGACTGTCACCTTTGGCCGGACTAGCGGCGCTGATGGACGCCTGATGAAGCAGCCGCCAGTGCCTAGTCACCAAGGACGGCGCTACATCACAAAGGCCACATAAGGAGTCGCCCCGTCAGGGAGAAATAGTGGAAGATGAGGGCTCATCCCGTGGATGCTGAAGGTGGCAGCACTTCTGCAGCTCTACCCCAGGACGGTTGAGCCGCCACCTTTGGGGCCTCTCGTGGCAGTCCTGGGGGAGGCTGCTGGTCGCCGTTGAGAGCGCGCAAGGCAGCATTGGTGGGATGCCGTGGAAGCGCCACGTCCCCAGAGGTCTCTCCCCGAGCGTGGAGGGGAGCCCAGCACAAGGGTGCCTGTGACCCCGCAGGGCCATCTGCTTCCCTGGGCCGGGTTTGGAGGAGGGGCCGCAGACTTTTCCCATAACCCTCTGCTTCCCCCTGACCCCCATCTCACTCGAGCACCTCCAGGGCAGTTGGTCTCTCATCCGCTGCCAGGATCACAAGTCGTCAGCTGGACGGACGTCACCCTTCTCCTAAGAGAGAGAGGCCCCCGCGTCCTCGGGCTCGTGGCAGCGCTCAGTCCTCCCGCCTCCGATCGGCCCACCCCGCAAGTCTTGGCTGGATGCTGAGGCCGCTGGACCGCTTTGGATGAGGCATTTTCTGAGCATCCGAGCGGGTCATTCTGAGCTGTGGCTGGGTCACCTGTGCCGCCGTCATCCTCTCTCTGGGGCCGTTCACCCCGGGCCCCCGTCTGCCTCCCCAGGCCCGTTGCTCGGGCCATAGCCGGTCGTGGCGCATCATCTCTCTCCCTGTAAAAAGGGGGCAGGTGATGGGAGCGGGGCATCGCGCACCTGAGCCTGGGGCCTCTTCTCCCACAGACCGCGGCACGTCCTGGGCCTTGGATGACGCAGACAGGAGGCAGCTCCAGGAGCAGGCGCGGGGGCGTCCCGGGCCTGGGGACACCCTCACTGCTTGGGAGAATCTTCGTGGGACCGGCCCCCTTGCGGAATGCCGCCTTCCGGGGACAGGGGCTGGCTGCCTGGGCTCCCTGCGCCAGCCCTGACACCATGTCCTTCAGCCCGGCAGGTGGCAGATTGATGAGAACGATCTCATTAAGCCCGGACGGATTCCTCCGCGCTTCCCTGGCTCGGAGAGCCAGCCCCGGTGTGCGCTGACGCACACGCCTTTCTTCCTGCCCGACTCACCTCGAAAAGAAGGTGGTTTATTTGAGCCACTGTTTTCCTTACCATTGTCTGCGACCTCTCCCCCTCCTCACGTCTGTCTCAGGGAGTCGTGTCCCCTTCTTCCCAGGCCCCCACCCGCCCTCCCAAATGCCCTTACAGGGAAGGGTGCCAAGACCTCCTTCTCTCTGGCCTCAGAACGTTGGCCTTGCTTTGTCCCACGCCTGGCCAGTGGCAGGGGCTTCATCTGCCCTGAGTCTGGGCCGCATCACGCCAGTGTGTCTCCTGCACCTGGGGCCTCACTCCAGCATCTCTGCAGCATCTGCTTCCTTCTCCAGGCCGTCGGAAGGATGTGAGATCGAGAGCTGCGCCACCAGGACTTCCGAAAGGTCTTCTTCTCGTGGTCTCCTGCCGAGCCTTCTGCACGGTTGTCCTGTTTTGGGGGGTGAGAATTGGGCTCCGACTGATTTCTTGTTCTTTTATTACCGCCGCTTAAGGATGATCTAAAAGTAATTACTGTGATGGAAGTGCAACGCCACTCCCCATAATTACTGCCGCCGCATAGAAAGCGAACACAAGTCCCGCGGCTGATTTACGGCGGCTCCTGGTGGGCCGGAGCCCAACGACGCCTTGGGGAGCAGCACTCCGGAGAATGGGAGGCTGGCTTAAGAAAGCAGAGCTGCGCCGTCCATCAGGGACAGTCATTTTTTTCCCGTGCCCGTAGTGAGAAATTGGTTGTCCTCATAGATCACGGCTCCCGCTCCCGGCTCTTGTGAAAGATGAATTAATCCCACTAATGCCTTAATGCAAACCCTTCACGGAGGAGGCCGGGTGGCGCTCCCCTCCTCACAGCTCTCCTTTCTCGACGGTGATTTATGGGCTCTTTTAGTAGATGAAGCTGCCTGTGTTTCCATCCATCTGTAGGCCAAAGGAATCCCATTAAGCAGAGCCTTGGGAGGGGGAGGCGAAGGATGTCACGGCCCTGCCCGAGGGCTCCCCAAGGCCAGGCTCAGAGATCGGGAAGCATCCTCCTGAAGAGACTGCCCTGAACAGGGGCCTCTTTGCCCATCTCTCCTTGTTGACCCGGCTGCCAAGGGATGGTCGGGTCCATCAGACGGCTGCGCCTAGGAGCAGGTCGGAGCAGCCCAAGCCGGAGGGAGAGGGCTCCTGTGCCCCCTGCTTCAGGGGTGACCGCCTTTCTCAGGACGGGGTCGTGGCCTGGCCTTGCTGGCCACCTGGCTTGCTATATGCTGCTCCCAGGGCCATGTAGCATCCTCGCAGATGCAGGTAGCGCCCCGCCATCTACCAGCTCAGAGACGGGGGCAGTCAGCTGATGCTGCAGGAAGGGGTCCGCTGCAACCTCCTTGCGGGCTCTCCCCCTTGAGGTATGATCTGCTGCCCCCCTGAACATTGGACCGGGGTCACAGAGGCTGACGGGAAGCCGAGCTGGGGCCCTCCTTGGCCTCTGTCAGCCGCCCATGAGGGGATGCCCCTGAGACCCAAAGGATGGAGGGCTTGGCCGAAGCCACTTAGAGAGTCAGACAGACCGCTTTGTCGCTCGCTGGCAGGATGCGCCTTCTTCTCATTGCAGGACGTCGCTGACTTGAACCTGGGCACTCCTTCGGCATCACTGGCTTCAGTGGAAGCAGCCTCCCTTCTCTTCTTCGTCCTCCCCATCCTCGAGGACTAGAGGGACAGGCACGTGCAGGCAAAGGGCCATTCTGGGTGCATGTGCGCAGATGAGGGTCATCTCTGGCAGTAAGGGAGCCCGTGGGGGAGCCACGGCTTCGTGGGTCAAGGACAGAGCAGCCCCTGCCGAGCCGCCTCCGGGGCCGAGGCCAGGCCAGACTTCCTGAAGTCCACCCCTTGGAGCCAGCCTTGCACGTCCATTTGACCTCTCATCAGACAGTCACGAAACGCGTAAAAGCCTGGATTGTTGGCCTTAGAGATGCTCCGGTTTGGTCCGCTGAAGAGCGACAGAATGAGGCCTAGGCCCACAGACGTGTGGATCAGACCTGGGACGGCCGGAGCAAGTGGCTGGAATTTCAGGGAGCTAACCCTCGTGTGCCGTGCTCACACATACGTGCGTGGCGTCTGCTCTGTCCAGTCGTGTTCCCCCTGGGGCAGGGCCCTGGTGGGAGTGGAGGACGCCCTATGGACTCTGACTCTCTCATGGGTTTTGAAGAGCTGCAGAGGCTTCCAGAGCAGCCTGATTGGGCTCTGTGGACCTGATACCAGTCCAGGGCCTGTGTAGCAGCATGATGACATCCGCGGAGCGAAGACGACGTCCAGGACACCTGTCCCCGTGCTGGCCCCGGAGCGAAGACGACATCCGGGACGCCCGGCCCCGGAGCGAGGACGACGTCCGGAGCGCCCGGCCCCATGCTGGCCCCGGAGCGAGGACAACGTTTTGGTCCAGAACCTCTCTCAGAGAAAGGCTGTGAGCCTGTCCAGTGGAGCCCACACTCATGGAATTACCAGTCCCTCAGCCACATTGAGTTGCGAGATTTCTTGTGTATCTTTCCTGTGTCCTGCCAGGAATCAACATCTGGCTGTATGCCGTTTTGTAGGCGTTGTGTCAGAGGCCCGAGGGCCAGCCTTGGGGTCAGGAAGCCCTGGGCCCGTATCCCATCTCTGACACTGACCCGCTGTGTGACTCAGGGCCCCAAGAAGCCACCTTGCAGGGCAGAGGCTGGCCTTCCTCTGCAGGCGCTCTGGATGCAGGTGGCCTCAGAGGGATGCGTAGCCTGCTCGTCACCAAACAAGAAGCCTCCCTGACTCTGCTGGTCCGTCTGCAGCGGTGAGACGCCCCTGCTGAGGATCACAGCCGCCTCTCGTGGCAGGGAGGGGAACACGGCCCGGGGCTGTGTTTTGGTGCCCGCGCACTTCACTAAGGCTGATAAGGGAAGGTCCTCCTGTCCTTTGTTGGGTGTCCAAGAGCGGCTAGAGCAGCCTCCTGCTCGGACATGGGCGGGCAAGGACCACCCTGGGGGCCGGCCTCTCTCGTCCACCTCTGGCTTCCTGAACGCCAAAAGGAGCTGCTTCCAAGACGTTCTCCGGGGGTCGTCTCCCCTCTAGGAGGGCGTCCCGGAGGGGCAGAGGTCCGGGGGGAAGGGAGGGAAGCAGGACATTGCAGAGAGCCTGAGCCTTCCATGGGAGTGGTGGGCCGGGGCTGTCCTGGATGGTCTTTAATCTTGTTCACAAAGGTTGTGAAAGTCGAGATGTGGCGGGGGCTGAGAAGCCACTTTCTTTCTCTTTGCCTCATGTCCTGCTACCTAAAGTGGAGGTGCTTGGAAAGGGGACGGGCCTTTGCCAGCCGACAAGCGCACGAGAGCCTTGCCCACAGCCTCCGCAGGACGTCCGGTGGGCCAGAAGGGTTTTCTTTCCTCGTGGAGAGATCCGTCCGAGGACGTTCCCTTCTGCTGCGGCAGGTGCCGGCCACGCCGGTCCGCAGCCCAGCGGTGCGGCCCTGCCTGACTGGCTGCTTAATTCACTATGGTGCCTCTCAACAAAATGAGGGTGAAAAGATGAAGTGGGGCTGTGTGCCGGTCACGATCAATCAGAGCCAGCGGGCCTTACGTAGTGCGACCTGTCTGGCCTCTCTCCTCATAGTGATGCCGTCTGGAGGTCTTTTTACCCCCCTGCTGCAGAATATTTATGGAGCTGCTGTTTCTCGAGGGTTTCAAAGGTCGGCACGCTCTCCCTGGGGACGCCGTGCACATCCCAGGTCAGGACGGCTGGTGTCCCCGAAGCATAAGGAGGTCTGAGATTTGTAAGTCATTTCAGAATTAAAAGTTGACAATATTCTACAGACCCCATACCGTGGCATTTGATTTTTCTCAGCTGCAGTTAAATCAGCATAGATTTGACGCGTGAGTGTGTGAATGAGCTCAGGAGGTGGTAGCCGCGAGTAGCGGTTGAGATCGCAGGAGAGGATGCGGCAGCCAGGAGGGGATCAGGAGCCCGCTTCCTCAGTGGCCGTCTGGGCCCAGGACAGGGGACGTGTCTGTTGCCCCACCCCTCCTGCCAAAGGTCCTGGCATTTCCACCCCAGCGCCCAAGTCTGCACCATGGGCAGGTTCAGCTCTAGGGCAGGGGGACGATGTTGTCAGAATGCTCTCTCCCCCCTGTCGCCCGAGGCCGGCCTACTCCAGCCAACCCTCACACGTGCTCTCCCGTGGGCCAGGGGCTCTGACAGTGCCATTTTGGGTTGGTCTCCGCTAGTATCTACCCCACGGCCTTCTGATGCCTCGTCTTCCTCACTAGAGCACACTGCGTCAATAGGACGGGGAGCGGGACAAGGAGAGGGGCCGGGCCTGGGATTTCACCATATGGGGAGCTCCCAGGTGAGGGCACACCCTCCACTGAGGCTGGGTAGCACCTTCTACCCGACTCACATCGTCTTCCAGAGTGCCCTGGACCACATGGGCAGTGTGGGCCCAGGGCCTTCCTGGCCCTGCCCGCTGCCCCTCTCTGCCCCCAGTGGCTTCTCCATAGCTGGGGTCCTCTCATCTCCCCTCTTTACACATCCAGTTTCTTTGGAGTAAACATACCCTTTGAGCATTCCAATTGGAGTGCATTTATGAAGTGCCTGCTGTGTACAAAGCAGCGTGGAGGTGCTAGGGGGTGTCAGGTCTCTGACCTCCGGGGCATCTGTTCCCAAGGGGAATGACGCGTGTAAATAGAGAAAGGCGGCACTGGGGATTTGGCCGCTGTGTCACAGGACAGCTGGTGGTGCTCCTGGGGTAGGGGCAGCTGCCGGGGCAGGATCCGGGTGCTCCGGGAACGTGGAGGCTGCCCTTGGCAGAGGAGAGCCAGGACCAGAGCTGTTGGGGGACGTCTTCAGTTTGGATGGAAATGCTCTTCTGCCCTTTCTCTGGCCAGCAGACCAAGATGGTGCCCCCTGTCTAGGAGCCCCCATGAGACACACTGTCAAGTCTAGAGGGGACCTGGGAGATGATCAATCTGGCCCCTCTGGCCACTGGCCCTGAGAGGTAGAGCTTGTGGGCAGTAAAGCTAGGATTCAAATCCAGGCCCTCAGCCTCCAAATCTCTCTCCCTCCCTCCCTCCTTCTCTCCTCTCTCCCTCTTCCCTCTTTCCCTCTCTTCCTGTCCTCCCTCTGTCTCTTTCTCTGTCTCTGTCTGTCTCTGTCTCTGTCTCCCTCTCTCTTCCTCTCTTCCTTTTCCTCTCTCTCCCTCTCTCAAAGACTCAATTTGGTCAGAGGGACCGATAACCTCTCTCTAGCCCCTGAGAAGAAGGGGTTTGCCCAGTCCTGTGGGTCCTGGCACCGTCCCCCTGCCGGGTGTCCTTGGGTCTGCTCCCAGAGAGATGCTCAGAAAGTGTCTTCCCCTCGTCCTGCCTCCCTCCCCGTGGCCCTGGGCAGTGCTGCCTCCCACTCATGATAGAGCAGACTTTGGGTTCGCTGTGGGTTTGGGGTGGTGGCATCCCCTGGGGGTCTGGCTCTTCTGCCCTCCTGTGAACTGACAGACCCCCCGTGTTTGTTTTTCAGTGCAAATGGTCCAGGAAAGGCTTCCTGCGGACGAGGTGGTGCATCTCTGACTGGTACGTGGCGGCTGGTGCCAGGAAGTAGCGGGTGTGGGCCCAAGGACATTTTTAGGGTTGGTCTTTTTAGCCAGTGGCAGCCTGCCTTTCTGTTAGGGCAGAGGAGACTTTCCCTGAAAGGTGATCTCGGTTTGTGAGTGGTGAGGAGAAAGTCCTCTATGCCACTGGCCTCTACACAAAAGGGCGACGTTGCCTGAGGGCCTGGCCTTTCCCCTCGGGCCTGACGACCCCAGAAATGGGCTCCTGCCCTCTCCATGTTGGATGGCGGATGGTCTGGCTTTTCTTTCCTGTGTTTACAGCCCTGGGCTGGACCCTTTCCTGGAAGACGTCCTTCCCCAACCCCTCCCTGCTCCGTACGGCCCCATGACAGGCCCCGCTTAGAAGGCCCAGCGGATGCCTTCCCTCTCATCTGGCCGGCAGGGCTGCGTGGAACAAGCCTTGCTTTGGGTTATATTTCAGGCACGCACACAGGCAGGTCTGCCTGTGAAGGGATGGAAATTGCATCCACAGGGGATTCCCAAGCCATCCCCTGACCCCTGGGTTCACACTGCCTTGGGCCTGTGGATAGACTAGAGGCCACAACCTACATCCCGAACCCCTGTGGCAGGAGGAGCCATGTGACAAACCCCCCCCCCCGGGGCCTGGCAGCATGGCTTTGTGGCCTCCCCAGGGCACCTGGCGGTCAAGAGAGAATGATGGTGGCACCGGGCTATCCATCCCCCTCCTCCATCAGGCCCTACTGTGGCGGTCATCCCTTGGTCTCTGGCCTGCCTCTGCTCCCTTCAGGCCATCCTCTGAGCTCCCCAGTGCCCATCAGTCAGGAGAGGCGGCTGGGAGGTGGGAATAACCCTGGCAGTCTTAGCCTCAGTTTCCTCGGTTGTAAGACATGGACCAGAGTCCTTGACTGCCAGGGTTGTTGTGAGGAGCAGATAAGGGAACGTACGACATAAACCTCCGCTTTAGAAATGCAAGTTCTTACCGGTGCCAGTGCAGAAGCTCCTAGGGCTTGCACTCATGGCCTCGCCCAGGCTCCTTCCCCCTTCGTCTCTCATTCCTGTGCCTGTACATCCCGGCTACACGAAGTGGCTCTGGGCTCCCCGCTCCCTTCTTGCCCTCTCCAGCCTTCTGGGAGAAGGAAGACCAGGGATGCATCCCGCTTTGCCTTAATCGCCATGTACCCTGGGCCAAGCTGATAACTCTCAGCCTTGGTTCTTACGTCTGTGAAGTGGGGAGTAGCAGCACCCACCACGCAGGGTCCCAGGAGGAGCAGAGGGAACAGTGTGACAGGTGCCTCACAGACTTCCAAGTGCAGAGGCCTGGGGCTGCAATGGAGCCCTGTCGCCCCTTGCTGGGAGCCCCGGCTCACCACTTCTAGCTGTGTGGCTTTGGCCGGTCCCTTCACCCGGGCCTTGGTTTCCTGTCTGTAAAATGCAGGAGTTGGCCCAGAGGGTCTTCAGGCTCTGCCTCTGGGATCCTATGAGTCTGCCCCTCCTTTACCCCCAGGGTCTAGTCTCAGGGCGTGGTGTGCCTGAGTATGGCAAAATCACTTGTGGCTTAAAGGTGGCCCCCAGGAGCTCTGGGAGGCCACACAGGGACAGGAGAGGTGTGGGGGATGGCCCCGTGCTGGGGCAGTCCTGGAGTCTCCTGGGCCCTGTTGGAGCCCTGCCGGCACAGCCTAGGGACTCATCAGGTGAGGGGTGGGGCTGGGCCCTGGGCTGCTCAGGCCACACTCACCCAGTCTCTTCTCTCCCTTGTGCTGCAGTGCCTTCGACCTGGTGAACATTCACCTTTTCCATGATGCTTCCAATCTAATTGCCTGGGAAACAAGCCCGTCGGTTTATTCCGGAATTCGGCACAAGGCCCTGGGTTACGTGCTTGACCGGTAGGTGTTGTCGGCTCTGGACTCTCCTTGCCCTGCCAATCCCTCCAGCGGGATCCGCTCAAGCCTGTTTGAGACAGTGTGAGCGGGAGACGGGCCGGCAGCTGTGGGCAGGGTGGGCGTCAGACTGCTCCCAGGATCCTCCCTGACCCCCAGGCATTGTCACCCCCGTCGGGACACCCGTCCACCACGGCCAACAGATCCAGACATGCGGTGGCAACCCAGCAGAGCTGCGGCTCTCATGCATCAGGCCTGCCTGTCCCGACTCTCTCTGGGGGTGTTTCCACTGGTCCCTGTGTCCTCCCAGAGCCGTGTGGGTGACAGCGGGGAGTGGGGAGCACTGTGGGCATGGAGGTGGGCTGTGCTCCATGAGTTCTGGCCTCACCTCCCCCTAGGCCTCAGTCTCCTCCTTTGCACAGTGGTGATGATGGTGCACTTCTCTGCCATCCCCTCCCCAGCACCCTCTGGCCCCTCCTGTGCCCAGGAGGCCCTGCTGTCTCCTCTCTGTGCCCAGGAGGCCCTGCTACCCTCTCCCTGTGCCCAGGAGGCTCTGCTGTCCCCTCCCCCAGCATCCTCTGGCCCCCTCCCTGTGCCCTAGAGGCCCTGCTGCCCCTTTCCCCAGTTTCTTTGGCTCGAAGTTGTCCTGGGGGCGAATTCTGCCCTCCTGGGTGTAGTGCATGTCCTGAGGTGTCCGGCACCATCATTCCTGACCCCCAGGCAGCAGCCAAGAGCCTCTGAGGGGATGGGTTCACTGGGCATAAGGGAATGCTGGGAGGAGGCAGGCCCTTTCATCTGAGCTGAGCCATCCTGGAAAGTAAGCCCCTTCCCCTCTGGTCTCCCTGCTTCTCCCACCGTGAGGGGTGGAAGGGGGTGTGAACCCCAGCCCCCCTCCCCCCCAATTCAGCCGCCCCACCCCATACTGATGAAAGTTTAGAAGTCGCCACGACCAGATCAGGAGCAGAGGCTTTTGGGCGCTGAGCGTGTGTCCAGGCCATGGGCCTCTCCCCTCACCCTGATCTAGCACCCCCCAGGCAGGGCTCCCCGCTAGCCCAGCAAGCTTGGCGGGAGGTGTAGGCCCCTGGCATGCCCTACCCCAGCCAGCCGGCCTCCCGCATCTTCCCTGATCCCATGTGCCCTGCCTCACGGCTGTGCCCTTCCCTGATCTAGGGCCAAACCCTCGTGAACCTCCCCCCCGCCACGCGACTTCTCTGTCCCGTCTCGGCTCTCAGCTCCTTCAATTGTCCCACTGGACATTATGGGTGTGCTGTCACACACCTCCCTGCCTGCCCCTGGAGTTCAGATGAATAAATGAATTCTCTCCTGGGTGCCCAGCTCGGAGCTCAGAGCTGGGGCTACAGAGGAAAGATTAAAATGTGCCTGCCCTCAGCAGCTCCCCGTCTACTGGGGGCATAGGAGAGCTGGCAGAGAGGGCCGACGCCTGGGGAGGGGGGACAGGTATTGGCCCTGCACTGAGCCCCCGGGAGGCGAGAGAGTCTGGGGGGGGGGGGGGGGCATTCCCGGGGGGGGGGGGGGGGGGGGGGTCCGGGGGGGGGGCATTCCTAATGGGTGGGGGGTACAGGGGGTACCTGCTGTAGCAGGTCAGGGAGGGGGAAGCCTGGGATGGATGGGATGTGCAGAGGGTTAGGGTCATGATGGGGAATTCATCAGCAAAGTCCCCCCCCACCCCCAGTTCTGCCTCAGCTCTGGTGCAGACTCTAGTCACCTTGCACCCAGACCCTCGCGGTAGCTGCTGGGGAGTCCGCCTGCCTGGAGGCACAGGTGGCCATGTCCCCCCCACTCCATAACCTCCCATGGCTCCCTGTGACCTCCAGGAACAAATACAGAATGCTCTGTGTGGCCCCTCCTGCCTTCCCAGGGGCCCGGAGCCTGCTGCGGGCCCTGGGACCTCCCCCTCCCCGGGCGCCTTCTTTCCAGAGGTCTCGTTCACCTCCACCCCCACGTCCAGTGACAGCCCATGCATGAGGATTAATGCACAGATGATCCTCCCAGAAGGGCAGGGGCTAGGTACTCCTCGCCCTGTGTAGGCCCTTGACCGCTGGGTGGATGGAGAGGTTGACCAGCCCCCATTGGCGCAGACTTTCCATGGCCACTCTCCTGCCCAGCCCTCGGGCTCAGATAGCCCACCCTCTTCCTGTTCTAGCTGGGCTCCGCCTCTGTGGTTCTGCCCTTCTTTGTCCTTCTTTGAGTGCGGAGGGTGGCGCGGTGCCCCCGTGGGCCTCCTGTGTCTTCCTTTGGGCCTGAGGGGGGAGGTGGCTGTGAGTCGTGAGCGGGGCTGGGCTGGAGACCCCCCACGATGCCCTGGGGAGCACAGCCCAGGGGCCGGGCCCACTCGCTGTGGGGCCACGCATCATTAAAATGTGACCCCCGCCGATAGCAGCGGGCTTTTGGGCTTTCGGGGGCGCCAGCGGTGCCGGGGCTTTGCATTCTGTGAATTGGCCTTTTGAGAGCTCAGCCAGCCGGAGCCGGGACCTCCGGAGCGCAGCGCGCGGGCTGGCGGCACAAAGGGGGAGTCGGAGGCTCGGTGAATAATGGGCAGCCCCTTTCAGCAGCCACTGCTGCTGAAAGCAGGGTCTTTTCTGCTCTGCTGATGGGGGAGGACAATGCCGAGGAGCCCTCTTTGACGGAGAGCCGCCACCAACAGTGTCCCCATTCAGAGGCTTTGGGAACCCACGGGCCATTGTGCGCCTTGCTCCTGCGGACGGCGGGGGTCGGGCCGGGCCGCTTCCCCCGGAGCGCCGGCCGGACTGGATCCCAGGCGGCTCCGGCCCTCGGTGGCCGCCCCCTCTGAGGCCCGGGCTCCCCTCTGCTGCGGGGAGCTCTCCTGCCACGCAGAGGCTCCGGCCCCGGCCCCAGCTGGCCTCAGCCGGGGGCCACGCCTCTGATGTCCTCATTGAAAGGGAGAAGCGGGGGCAGAATGTCCTGTGTGGTCAGCCCGGGGGATGGCTCAGGCAGGCGCTGGGACTGGGTGGGCCCCAGCCCAACGGAGGTGTGTGGGGTGAGGGCAGCTGAGTGAAGGGGGAGGGTGCAGAAACACCCCGCACCGGACACACACACTCACACTTGTGCTTACCCACACACACATACATACAGACTCATACACTCACACTCATGTACACACTCACCCCCCATACACACACTCACCCACACACATACATACACACTTATACATACATACATACATACATGCACGCACACTCATGCTCACCCACACATGTATACGCACTCACACTCACACTTGTGCTTACCCACACACATACAGACTCATATACTCATATTCATACTTGTGCTCACCTACACACACACATACAGACTCATACACTCATATTCATACTTGTGCTCACCTACACACACACATATAGACTCATACACTCACACTCATACTTGTGCTCATGCACACACATATATATACTCATACACTTATACTCACACTTACCCACATACACTCACATACACACTCACCCCCCATACACACACTCACCCACACACATACACACTCATACATACATACATGCACACACACTCACTCATGCTTACCCACACACATACAGACTCATATACTCACACTCATACTTGTGCTCACCTACACACACATATATATACTTGTACACTTATACTCACACTTACCCGCGTACACTCACATACACACTCACCCCCCATACACACACTCACTCACACTCACACTAGTGCTCACCCACATATACAGATCCATACACTCACACTCACTCACACACATATAGACTCATACACTCACTCACACTCATACTTGTGCTTACCCACACACACATACATACAGACTCATACACTCACACTCACATACACACTCACCCCCCATACACTCACCCACACACATACATACAAACTCATACATACATACATGCATGCACACACACTCACACTCACCTACATACTCACACTCATGCACACCTATATACATACATACTCATACACACACTCATACTCACCCACACTGACACTCGCACTCATGCTCACCAACACATATTCATGCATACTCATACACACACTTATACTTACCTACATAACACATGCATACATATATACATGAATACATACATGCATGCACACATACATACATACATGCTCATACACACATATACACACGCTCACACACACCCAAACTCAAAACCAGGCACTCTCTCCCATACACACACCCAAGTGCCCAAGCGTGCACGCACACACACACACACACACACACACGCACGCACACACACACACACACACATCCCCTAGAGGTTAAAGGCCCAGATGATTGGTTGGTGAAAGCAGATTTGGCCAGGGTCACTTGGTGCCTTCCCAGGGATGGCCCGGACATCCCACAGAACTCCAAGCCTCAGGTGTTCACATGTGGCCATCTTGGCTCCAGGGAACAGGGCCCCCCTCCCCTGTGTGAGGGGCGGGGGCTCCAGAGGGCATACTGGAGGAGACTGGGGAGCCCCAGGCCGACGGCCGCAGCCCAGGCCAGCCGAGCAGGATGGGCGGCCCCTGCGGACCACGGAGACTTCCTGGAGCCCTCCACAGCATTCAGGTCCGTGAAATGGGATTTTTTTTCACCAGTGACAGAGCTCTTCTGTTCCCCTTTGGAAACAGGGCTGGGCCTCTTTCAGCAGAAACATTTCTCCATTCCGAGTGTGAAATCCCGGCGTGAAGCAGCCTTTGTGTTCATCATCATTTTCTCACAAATATAGTCCATTGTCAGATCGCCGGAGTTAATTTGATCAACATTGGAGCATTTAACTTTTGTGCCCGCTCAAAGGAGCTGTTTCATGCCCATTTGGGGCATTCAAAAGAGATGATTACCAGAAAAATAATGTGTCCGCACACAATTGGGAGCAATTAGTTTCCCAGGGAGCGGCGAGTGATGCACGGCCTCCACACAGCTCGCCTTTGTCGCCCTGTGGACGGTCATCAGTCAGCTGTCACCTCGGCTCAAAGACCCCTCCAATCTAAATGTTTCTCTTGAGGCT